ACGGACCAATTTTTTGGGCATATATATGAGCGTAAGAGTGATCAAGCCGTCAAAGAATGGTATGTGGAGTGTTTTATCTGTAGCTCCGCTTTTTTTAACAGGATGCTCGTAAAAAATAATTAGTCATTGTGTTTTTATAATTGCTGTTCTATCAGTCAAATCACGATGAAAATACCCTATTGTATTTCAAAGAAAATTTTTTGCTATGACTAATCTAATCAGTGGCCAGTCCCTCAGAAATTCTCACGTTTCTAAGAATCTTCCGGATTCTTTCGCCTTATCTTTGTCAAAACACTACTGTTTCTATTTTCTCGTATTTTTCCACATTCTTGCTTTCGTCCTGTTATGACTTTGAAAAAAATAAAACCACAAGGATTTAGGAATTTTTTGGAAACTGCTTTTTTGTATATTATCAAGTTTTGGCCCTATATAAACGGTTTAAAATTCTCACTTCTCCAAAATCTTTTCAGCAGGGCCCCATTTCTCAACAGAGTTAGGATCCTCTCCCCCTCCCCTTTAAGACTTTTCCGTTCCAGCACAAGATTCTTTCCAGTAGCTACAGATGTGACGAAATTTCCACGGACACGGTGTCGACGATGCCGTGCCGCTTGTTTGCCATCATGTTGGCCCAGTTTTGTTCAAGAACTTGATCGTAATCAATCTTTATTCCAAGAACGTTGATGTGGTTTTCAGGGACGTTTAAACGGTTTCCTTCGTTCATACAGTGAGAAATTCCATGAAGGTCATTAATTTTCATGGGGCAATCGCTTTGTTATTTTATTCCAGGCCTCCACCCAAAGATAGAATTTGTTTGTGGAAGAGTTTTGATTGATATATGTTCAATAGGAATTGGCATTTATCATTTATCCTACTAGAAATGATGAGAGGTCATACTGAACATTATTCACTATTTTTCTTGACGTCTTTATGTTTCTCGATATGACGCATTTTTTAATTAGCACTTCTTCGGCAAAATCACATCTGGTGAGCAAAATTTATCAGCAAGAAACTTGGTTCCTAATGTTTTTGAGTTTCGTATGTTGTGTTTGCTGTTGGTTTGGAAGAAATTCCTTATGCAAAAAAATAAATAGAATAAATAAAACTCGTAAAACGTCCTTTACCAGTAAGAAATAATTAAGGTAGTGACTTTAGTCATCGAATCACAGGTTCATTTTGATTATCGTCTGCTATCGTTAACATTTGCATCCAAGGAAGAAAAAGAGGAAAAACTCCATTTCCAACTCTTTTGAGGAAGTTTCAGTTGCTAACAACTTACTGTGAATTTGCTGGCGATTTGCTAGCAACTTGCTGGCAAGCTGGCATTCACAAAGAAGGATACGAGTAAACAACTTAACCTTAACCTTCCTTCCATGCCTGTTCTTCCTCTTTCTATTCCCACGCTATTTTCCCCTCCCATTTCCTTCTCATCTGCGCGACCCTCACTTTTCCTCGAAAAGGGGCGGACAAAGGACGTTTCGTAAATAAGGTTGTTTCTCGCTAGTTGCGCAATCTCATGTTTGAGGTTTTTTATTCATTCTGCGAGACTGTGGTAGATGTTGGAGAAGGGTACCCGGGAAATGCTTTGTTTTGGATTTTTTTCTTAGAATTTGCCTTTATCGCGACGTCGGTTTTTCAAAACCGCGGGAGGATAAAATTCTGGATCGGACGAGGTTCTACCTTTTCCAAATTCCCTTCTTTTTGTCCCCCGATCTTTGTTAAATTCCATTCATTGTTTAACCTTCGAATTACTCCTACCACATCATCAATCGGACCGCCGACACAACTCGTTACCGTATGGCTGACCAAAAATCATCCTGATCTATGTTCCAGGTTGAAACATAGCAAATCAACAAAAAAAACGTCTGCGGTCGGCTATGGCGTCATAATTTCTCCTATGTTTAGAAAACAAGACTCTTTGGTGATAGAGCACGAATCACGGGGTCAGAGAGGTGAATGACACTTTTATGGCTTCGTAAAGAACGCTACTCTCGAAGAAAATTGCATAGTCATGGTGTCCATGCGCATCGTATCTATGGTGCTGACGTTGGATAGAAGCAATAAAACTGTCTACAGTTATGACTTTGTGCAAATCATATTTTGTGGAAAAAAATTTGCAAATGGTATGTGTCATACAAGTAAAAGTCAACTATTCGTCATACGGAAGGTGAAGTGTGTTGTGGTGCACTATATCCTTATAGGCCTACTGAAGTTATACGAGGCTAAGAATCATAAACCGAAGGTGATTTGACTAGATTTTGTGCTTTTAGGATAGTCGCGCGTAAGAAAACCATTATTTCTTCAAAAGGTTTTTTTTAGGAAAAGTAGTCCCAATTCATGAATCTTGCAAGCTCGACGAAACTAGTTGCCCAAGCAGTTATTTTAAAATTTCACTATTTTTACATGAAAGGGCAGTGAGTTTTTAGCAAAGCACCCTTTGCAGCAAAGTTGATGGGGTGTAACACAAAGCTATTAAAGGTGTGGCAGCCACACCTTACGAGGCTTGCGTGTCACACACCACTGAGCTGCTTTTACAACGCGCAAACATCGCTTTTTCTTTCAGCAGTCGTTGCTGAAGCCTTCCTTTTACAGTGGTGAGACTACTGCTTGCAACCGTCATTTACCCTAAGCTTGCCTCTGGTAACATTGCAACTTTGATAGGTATTTTCGTTACCGCTAACTTGTTTTTCAAATTGCTTGCATTGCACAATTTCCGGGATCTGTCTGCTTAGGGTCCGCATTCCAGGTTACGCATCGATTTCCGAACTTCCAGTAGAGCTCTATTCAAATTTTAGTAAATGACGAATTTTAATATCCTCAACCGGTCGCAAGCATCTTCACTGTGATCTCAGAAATCTCCTGTTCTCGGACTATCTTCTTTCTGGACTTTGGATCGCAATCCGCCCTCTACAAAAATAATTCTAAGATAGGGTGTGGACTACAGCGGGCGTGAGTGGTATACTAGACCTTACGGAGAAGTGATTTTCCTACTTTCCCCATCCGGGCAGGGCGATTGCAAAGGGGAAAAATCAAAATGGTTTATACCATGAGTTTACTCAATGGGATCCACACATATCCAGTTGCTCTTACTTGCAGATCTAATGTCCCAGCAGGAGAAAATCCAGCAAATCTTACCATTCCGGAAACCCAAACTGTTCTGATCTATTTTTGATGTGATTAACCCCACCCTAGATCCATCAACCTCAAAACTGCACATTTGACGCTGCAGCGGATGGTCATGAATCAGCCGTTTCGGGCAATTGACTGATTCCCCTCGCTGTCCAACAACATCAAAAACAGCGGTTAGACGACACTCGGCTGTCCGCAGGTGGTCGCCGAGGGGACCGCGGCCGATTACAGCCCAGCCCCATGTTTCCACACCCATTTCTCGTTCTTACTCTCTTACGATTACCGCTAAGCGAAGCAGTTCACTTGCTTCGCTCCATATTGGCTCAATTTGTATATTCGGTAAGATTGGATTGAAACGAAGTTTCTCTAAATAGCGCATTTCCCTTCAACAAATTCTTGAGTGCCTCTCTCTCTCTCAAATTATTCGATTTTCTCAAAAACATAAAAATCTCGCGCGTAAACATTTTTTACAATGTGTAAGTGTATTTTTTTGTTGGGCTAGGAGGAGGGTTACCAGCGGAAGGTTATTTGATTGTAAAATCACTCCTTCTTTGTAATTCAATTTTCTCCGTCTTTACAATGAAGATTTTTTCGTATCTCACAAAATCATTCCTACCTTTCGAATCTCATACGTCTCTAACAAGGGAACGATCCCAACTCAAGGTGGCGAATTGGAATGAACCGCATGTCATTAGATGCGTCTTGATGAGCTAATTCCAAATCTACCTTCCATATCTGCGATGCCGTTCTCTGCAAAAAGTTATGAGCGGTTGAAAATGTGAAGTTATCGGGGTTTCAATGCATAATGTGCTTCAAAACCCAACTTGGGAGTGTATGAATAGCATGATAGTGTACTGATTTCGAGGAATGCTCACAATCTGAAGAAATACAATTAAATGTTTTTGAACAACTATTTTTCGAGGTATGGCGCTGTATATTTGCCAAATTTGGACTTTTCATTGCTCATAGCTTTTACCAATGAACTTTAGTTGCTTTTTAGGTTCAAAAACACTTGTCTGTGTTTCTTTTGAATCTGAGCGTTCCTTGAAATCAGCACACTCAATATAATGCTAGTCGTGAACTTCCAAATTGGATTTCAAAGCATATTATCCATTAAACCCCAATGGCTCCACATTTTTAACCTTTCATAACTTTTTCCAGATAAGGCATCGCAGATAAGGAAGGTAGATTTGGAAGCAGCTCATCAAGATGCATCTAATGGTATGCGGTTCACCCCAATTCGCCACCTTAAGTTGGGATCGTCCCCTTGTAAGGATATCGCTTCTTGTATGGTTTGTTTTCCCTTTTTGTAGGATTATATGCGCTTTGCTCTCGACCCCAAAACCCTGTAACCGTCCCTTACGTCACCTTATCTTACTCGCAAAAGAGAGTCTCCATGCACGACAGCTGTGATAGCGCCGAAATTTTGCAGAAATTTGTACAAAGGTCATCGTTTCGCGCACAATTCTCTCGTATCACACATCTGAAAGCAGCCGCATCTGTGCAACGGCGGCGGTCAGATCGAAGCGAGAAAAAAAAACGGAAGACGATGAAGAAGATGGAGCGGTTGCGGGTGGTGTGCGCGAGCGCGCGAAGTGAGCGGAAAGCGGGACGAAGGCCACACCCTAGCACTGACATACATTGTCCGGTGCGCTCTTTTCATAGAGCGACGGACGCATCGAGTAGGAGAGAGCGGAGCGCGTCGACCCACCGACTATGAACTGGTCATGGGGGAGCCACCATCATCGCCGCCACCGCCACCGCCACCATCGCCACCGCACCCCACCCCATCCCACACATGCACGACCACCCCCATCTTCAGCAGCAGCGCAACGCGACCTTGGATTTCTCTTATTCTCTCCGACGCTCTTCCACTATTCCCTCTCGTGTCCGTCGAAGGCATTGCTGTCACCGTCGCGCCATATTCCCTCCGACCCGACACTCTCACAGTTCCTCACTTTTCGACGTTTCCATTGTTTGGAAATGGACGGGTGCTCGTCCTTCTGCTCAGTATGGCCTCCACAGTGACGCAAGCCTGAAAACGAGACCTTGAGCGGAACTTCGAATGCATTCATTTATTTTCGCCCCATGAGTGGGTGGTCCTACGCGAGAAAAAAAATGACGGATTGCGGAGGAGAGGTGCCCTAATGACAGTTGCATTTTTCCGGCCTCGAAGAAGAAATCAAATGCCTGGTCGTAACAATTTTTATTCACCTTTTAACTTTGCCGGATTAGGCCAGTAACTACCTCCCCAAATTTGTTCTATAACTTTCAGATTTCCATTTCTTTCAGTTGTTGTAAAGGTGATTTGGAGTTCTGGTACCATTTTTTCTTTCAGATCTTGCTGATGATTACTCATCTATTTGACTTTCTCTTCAACATGTCCTTGCATTTTCTTATTTAATTTCCAGCTCTGTTCTTGTGCAAAATCATAACATGCCGTGCTTTTTTTGCTCTTCATTTTTTTGCTTGTTCGCGCATTTTTTCTTTGAATTAGCTAGCTTTCTTCAAAAAAAAATCGGCCACCTTCTCCCAGTTTTTCCGTTTTGCGGTTAGGAACCAGAGAGTTTCAAAATAATGGGGCGGGACTAGAGGGTGTTGTGAGCAAGTCATTAGTGTATTTTTTTACAGCCCCCATGAATTTCCTATCGACTAGTCCATTGGACAAATTAAGTGATTGGAGATGAGTGATTGTGGTGATTTGAGTATAAGTTTCGAGCTATCAATAGGAATGTAAGTATGATACTTTGACCAGTCTAATTTTTTATTGGTTCCATCAAAGATCTGCTTTTTCCGTACGGTAGTTTCAAATGTTTTCACAACTGTTCTCACCGAAACGAAACGAAACCAGTGGTTTCAGCAACAAGGATTATAGGTGGGGCGAACGCGCAAGCGATTGTCACACTCATTGAAGCGTGTACAGGGCGTAACGCTTGCTGTGCTAGATAAACGTGATCGTCATTAGCAGCACGTTACGTTGCTTAGCCACATAGGAGAAGGGAGGGGGGCGGTGTTGGAAAAGAAGTTGCGGCGCTGGTTTGTGAATCTCTGACAATCTCAGATTCACTCAATAGATTTCTCCTCAGAACTTCGATAGGGCGTTGCGCCGTGTTTCTCCCAGAAATTTCTGCTCATTGTTCAAACTGGATCACTAGTCATCATTAGGTGGTTGCATGGCACATCATCTTCGTTTCTTTAGAGGAATTTCTTGTGCACTTAATTGATTCTTTCTCACCTCACTGGTACATTGTCTCGTTCTGTGTGCATGCGTGGCGCTGACATCAACACCGAGGAGCGACCACGTCCGACAACGATTGACGGAAACCTGTTCATAATAAAAGTTCGACGACGACGACGACGATGGAGACGACGATGTTGATGGTAAAGAAGACGTTGACAAGCAGACGTTTCCCAGACCCTCCCATTTCGCCCGTTGATCATTCCTTTGATCATAGCTTCGTTTACCGATAGGGACACCATTACCTCCATAACCCACACCATCATCAGCACCAAAACCTCCTCCACCATTTTCACCGCCACCGTCCACACCATATGCACCATTTCTACCATCCCCACCATCCGCACCATTTACATTGCCCTCACCATCCATAACATCCACATTATCCCCACCTTCTACGCCATCTTCACCATACCCATCCACACCATCCACACCATCCCACCATCCACACCATCCAACCATCCACACCATCCACACCATCCACATCATCCACACCATCCACACCATCCACACCATCCACACCATCCACACCATCCACACCATCCACACCATCCACACCATCGACACCATCCACACCATCCACACCATCCCACCATCCACACCATCCACACCATCCACACCATCCACACCATCCACACCATCCACACCATCCACACCATCCACACCATCGACACCATCCACATCATCCACACCACCCTCACCTTTCTTTGCTCAGCACCCCATGCCAATCTCACCGTGTATGCGCAGAGTTTGATAGGGGTGAATTACCACGTGGGACATGCCAATTTGGACGTATTTCGTCTCTGGCGGAATATACGTATCCCTTTGCCCTTGGCCCTAAATTGCTATGTAGACGATTCGGCTGATTAGTTCGATGACTAAGCTGGTATACCCTCTCCCTCGTCTCTCATCGTCTGTGATGATTGAATCAAAATCACTCACTCATCCCCGATATCGATTCGTGCTGGTGGTAAACTCGTTTTCACTTTTTTTCACTCCGCCTTTGACCTTTTGCCAGCGTTGTTCTCACGCTTATTAGAAACACCCACATCGATCTACCCAGACTACCCGTATACGCACATTCACTCACATCACCACATCATGTGCTAAGGTGCAATGTTTCCGAGTTGGTGATGATAGGCATTGGGTGGTTACGACCCGAGTAAAGCCGGTTTCTTTCAGGGCAGAAGTTGATTTTGGGGTCGGGGAGAACGTCTTGCCGTATTTTTTCTGGGGTAGGGGAACGAAAGCCGCCAGTTTGAGCCGCCTCCGCGGACTGCTGGTCCTGAAACGACATGCAACAACACTGCGAAAGGACCAGTTGGCCGCGAAAGGCGGCTCAAACTGGCGGCTTTCGTTCCCCTACCCTTTTTTCTGTAGTAATTTGTAGCATACGAGTACAAAGAGGCTATGACAGTGACGGATGATGTGAGGCAAGGGGTCACCAATCATCTCTTTTGTATAAGCGCAACATCATTGTCTGTAGACTTTTTCCGCGCTTTTTTTGCGGCAGCAACTTGTTTTCTTCTTTTTTTGCCGATCGGGTGGGGGGGGGGGGGAGGGTTGAGGGGAATTGGTTTCCTACATCACATTGAGATACCATTTCACTATTATCACTGATTGAAAACCTTGTAGACTCACCAAATCCATTTTGAAGAGATGTTTCTGTAGTTTTGTCTGCGTTCTGTAAAAACTTTAAAATTTGAAGTATATGTAGGAACATTTATTTGTTGCATTAATAAGAATTTCTTGAAAAATCGGTTTTTGCTTCCTCAGTGTTTGAGACTGCTATTCATGTCTCTTCACTATTATCTGAATCTGATATCTTCATTAAAATGCACAATTTCGCATATTTTCATTCACCCATTTGGCTCCATCTTCCTTGTTCGTTAGGCCTCCTTTCCCTTGTTCTCCCGATTTTCCGCTTCATTTATATCGATTCGATTTCTTCCTACATTGCGAGAAGTGGTGTACGTATCCAGTTTTTTGGTGGTTTCTTCCACTGGCTTTTGACCGTTTGTCTTTTGTGGTTACATTTTTTACACTCCTTATGATCAGTGCGGTGATGCTATCTTATTGCTAGAATACATTCTGTCATTTTTCTATCTTTGTTTTGGAACTGCTGATAGACTCACTTGCCAACTAGCTACGATATTTGCTGAATAGACCACCCTGGTTTCGCTTGGAAGATGTGATTTAGCACAATGATCTTCGCTGTTTACGTACCTCTATCAGGTATTTGCAATGTATAAATTACCGTTTCGACCGAACAATACATTTTTCACCTTTCATTTTTCTGTTATCATGCATTTTTCTAGCATTCGAATTGAAAACTTACTCTGAACTAGCGACCCTGCGGGTCGCTATAAGTGGATCGAAGCATATGTTTTGGAAGTTTGTGCATCTCAATGACATCTTCCTACATTTTATTTTACTTGAACATAATTTCCGCCGAATCATCAAATTTGCTCCAAGGTAGACTCCTTATCGGGTGGAAGCATCTGAAAAAATTTTCTGGACTGATACTCTACCCTGAACTTTGAGCCTTTTTATTTTGCGGGACTCGTCAATAACTCGCTTTTCTACAAGTATAGGTGAGGTTTCCCCATGAAAACGTCTACAAAGCAGATTTTTATGAGATATTGGAAAATCTGTGGAATAAACGCACTTCCCGAAAAGGTTCCTTTCGCTTGAAAGCATGGCCTCCATCAATGAGATCCTCACTCACACGCTTCGCTTTCAACAAGAACAGAATTTCCTCAACACCACTCCCAGAACAATTTTCTTCTACGGACCTAATGTTGCAATATAAGTGGTTTGACTGCCAACGTTTCTCTCTTCCAACAGTTGACTCATTTTCGTGTGTGTCAGAGTTTTTCCCTGATCACCTGCCCTCATCAATTATTCTTTTTGAAAATTCTTATCTATACTAAAGAGTTCATGATTATTGCATATAAGTAGATTATTTCATAAGCGGCTTGTTATTTCTTGGAAATGACGCAGTACAGCGCACATATCAGATTTTTTTTGTGATTTGTGGAATGTATCTAAGAATTTATTTTGGCTACAATTTAGACTTCTATGAGAAGGGATCCAAGTATAGCAAAACTGGCGACAATACAGATTTCTAGCGAGAGTTCGTCCTCTCGAAGGTCACACCCATCATCATATTGAACACGTGCTCTGTGGTGTGTGATGGTAGTGTAGTGTGTGTTCGTGAAGTGGTTCTAGTCGATAGTGGCCGTTACTTGTTCCCTGGAAATTTTCTCAATGATTGCGTTTCCCATTTTTTTCGATTTTCTATGGTTCTTGCGTACAATTCGATTTTCTTTCCATCGGTGGTTTTTTCGCGAAATTTTCCCATTTTCAGAGATTTCGTTCGTCTATGTTCAACAACGAGTCGTTCAGTTCGAGCGTCTCCACCACGAGTTCCACGTCGTCATCGCATTTTTCTGTTGAAAATGTCGTACATTTTCCGAATAAACCACGTCTTTCAATTGATCCCACTGCCCGGGCAACAAATGCTATTCGACTCTCACCCAGATTTCTTGAAGCAGGTGCGGTAATTTTCAGCGAGGCATTTTATATCTTTTGTATGCCATGTTGAAATGTAGAATTTTCGATGCCATGTTTGCTTGCAGACTCAGTACTTTATTTATGCGTCTCTCCGTTTTTCATTAGCAGAAGTTGATGTCTTCAAATTTACCTAGTGAGGATGTTTTTCCGCAAAGCAAAGCAAATTAGCAAATCGAGTTTCAGTTCAAGTTAGCTCAAGATCAGAAATTCACAATATTGAAATAAAGTTTTCTCCGCCCTCCTTTTTTTTCTCTTTCCTTTTCACTTACAGAACATTTCAGTATAGCTTATTGCCAAAAAATTGTTTCTTTTGGAAATTTTCTTTATTTTGCCTTTTTTGCGGTTTGATCGCAACAGTGACTACCTAGAAATTTTCTCAATTAATTTACTCCATTCTATCCATATATGAAAAACATCAACATTTTGAGACTTTGTTGATTTGTAAGGCATGAGCGGATTTAGAGTTGTAGTCCAAAATGTGAACGCTTTTCTCCACTTTTCAATTGTTTCATCCTTCTGTTGACATTTAGGTAAATATTGACTTTCAGTAGCTACCTGTAGCAAAGATGACGACGTCTCTAGGAGAATTCATGAAGCAACTAGGCGATACAATCATTTCGGAGCAGAGGTTTTTGAGAGGTACGATTTGATCTGAATTTTTGCTGTCGTGCTTTTTTATCGGAATCCTCCGGTTTATATATAGACTTTTTTAGGTTCCGAGAAGAACTTGGTGCTGGTCCGAAAACATATGAACGATTGAAGCATAATTCAGTTAGAAGGCGGCTGACGAAGGTGAGAAATTTTCCACTTATTTTTCCGCTTGTTTACTCATATGATCGGGAAAATCCTGATCATAATAGAAAAAAAGAACAATTTCGGCCATTCGTCATTTTATGTACATCCTAGAATAGATGACAGGTATACAATTTACAGTATCGTAAAACATAAAACGATCAAATTTTTCTTAGCGGAATTCCTTTGCTATAAATTCTACAACTTTTTTTCCTATTTTATCAACCGGATCTGCTGTCAACTGGGTTGCTTCTTGCGTCATGGGTGACTGGCCAGTGATTGTATTTCTTTGAAATGTTAGGTTTTTTGGGGAGGGGGAGGGGAGGGGAAGAGTAAGAGACAACCAGGACTATAGACGTCAGCAAACTTTTTGTAAAATTTACTAGCAAGGCCAACAATTCTTCTTTGAGAATCAAAGTATATCTTGAAATTTTTCTCTCAAAGTTCCAACACCCGCTTTTTGCACTCTTCCGTTACCGTAATCCATACCCTTACCAACTTTGGCTACTATGCCTGAGAACGTAATCGTCGCTACATGCTGGTCGATGTATGCTGGTAGAGAGAAGCACGACCGTAACCGCATTACCTGATTACCCAGCGGGTAACTGCTGCGGTTCGCGTCGCTCGCGCACGCATCCGCACGTTCACCACATCGTCAACGCGCCGGCCGCTCCCCATCGTTTCTGAAACCCGCTCCCCGCCCTGCACACAGTATTTCGCACCAGTGCCGGTCGGCGAACCTTATTTGGGCGACGTCGACGACGACGTCCACACCCAGACGTTTTTTTGCGCATCCCGATTCGATGTGCGCGCTATGTGCCCGAGCGCGACAAAGACCGCACCACACCCTGTTCGCGTCGCGCGAGTGGCGCGCTTCGCCGCGCGTTCATTCGCGAGGATTACGGTAGCTTGTTGGGAAGCAGGGGCGGCGCCCCTCAGAAAGGCCATATTACAACGCGCGTATCACACCTAGTACTGGTTGTCACATTGCGTCTACTTCAAGCGCGCGTGACGAGACGTTTTTTTAGGCTAACTTAGCTTGAGATGGGTGGTAGAATCTACAGTATAAACAATGACGTCATCTCGTGACATTTTTTGGTGGATCTGTGGAAACAAATCCAAACTACAGGTCCCTATTCGAAGGGAAAGGCTATACGGTCACAGTTGTTGTTCAAATAGAAGATTCCAGAAAAAGTATGCCGTTCTGGATTTTCCTTGATGACTCTAATTATTCTAACAAATGATTCACACGAGCGCAAACAAAAAACAAACTCATTTATCTAATGTCGTCAGTAGCATCGTTTTGAATCAGAGTGGGAAAACAAGCTTAGGAAGACAAGTGAGGGTAATTGACGTAGTGGAGGGGCAATTACTAAACTCCCCTCAAGAGCTTTCTTACTTACCTACCGTGACCGTTGTGATAGGGCCACAGTGAATACCATGCAGTTTACAGTTTATCGCAATTTTCGTGGGATAACTCTTGGGACAATTGGCAAAATTTAGTACCGGTCAGGGCAACGGTTGGAAAAGCAAAGTAGAGGAGAAAGAGGAAAGCAAAGGAGAGGGAAGATAATTTGGGGTCGTTCTATCGGAATCATTCTCTTAAAAGCGTTCATTGGCACCAATTATTCTTATTATCGCTCTGGAAAGCTCATTTGGAGAAAATTATATCATTTTAAAGTCGATTATTTGCTTATTATAAGCTCAACTAGAGCTACGTCAGCTTATCTTATTAGGCAAACTTGATCACATATTGCATTGTGCAAATTTATATAATTTTTTTAGTCAATCCTTTCCTCCCCCCCCCATTCTTGAATTCAACTAAGTAAACTTACTGAATGGATACAACTTTATATTTTCAGGTTGACAGTAACGATGATTCGGGTAGAGCCACGACTTCGTCTGATGCCTCATCCGTCTGCGATTTTCCCGCTGACGATGAACCGACAGGTAGATTTACAATATATATATATATTATATTATCCCGCTTATGTCTGATTACGGTATAAGGCAATGTGGTTACTGATTGGACAGATTTCTTTTATGATTTCTATGATGTTATTTTGATCAATGACCGCTCACAAAAAACGAGAACAACAACCTTGAACACATGGAGACACATTCCATTCTATCCTTAGTAATTTTAAAGAAATCATGTGGGCAACGCCCAATAACAAAAAGGGGTGGGCATTTATTAACTGGGATGATCGATAATCTTTTTTTTCAGCTTTCCTTCCCTACCGTAGTCGGGTACCATTTGGTTCGACCCAGTCAATGTACGATCAAAATGACATCTCTGCGATTTCGGCACGGCTTGAACACATCAAAAACGAGTTTTTCGCCGGAAATGACAGTGAGTTTTGGTAGATAATGTTCATCCGATTTGTTGTGGAGATGGCTAAATGAAGTGGGATAAAAAAAACTTTTCGCTTTCCAGAACAGTTCTCAACACTATCCGGTTTTCAAACGCCTACGACAGCATTAGGCGCTGCTATGCAGGATTTGAACATGAAAAGTGAGTTTTGGACTTTGATTGCGCTAATGGAATCAGGCTGGGTTTGTGGAAAATTGTGTGGGATGGGAAAGTGCTTTGAAAGCTCCCAAAGTCGTGATCAGAAATTCAATCGTTTAGCAGCTTATATGGGTTGTTTAGGGAAGGGATAAGGGAAGAGAAAAATGGCACAAGTGGAAAAACAGTTGTGGACGGCATAAATTAATACTAATCACCGAGCCATTTGAGCCAAATTACATAATGTTCTTGGTGCAAAAATTTCATTCATCTTATTCTAAACCCCTTCATTCAGGTGCCTTCGCCCCTGTATCACCTAAAAGTCGTGTCATCAATCACAGTCATCATCGTGGAGTCACTCAGAAAAGCGGCTACCGAATCTCTGATCTGCTCCATGTTAGTATCTCACATCGCCATCGTTGTTGATTTCTTTGAAGATTCTATCGGCACATTCCAGGATGATCCAGTTTTTCGCAAGTCTGAAGAGATTACATCTGCCGAAAAGAAGATCCATAGGGTACCAATTAGGCTGGTACAGTCCTGCTCAACTCAAGGTTCGTGAAATTATATGCAAGAAGAAAAGTTGTGCAATGGGGAAAAATGGCGGGTGAAATTTGTGAAAATAAGCGGTCAAAAAATTTCAACATTTCCATGTGAATTTTCGAAGTTCCTTTTTGAAAGGTTTTGAAAGGTATTGTAATTTCAATGAATGGTTGAAATAAATATCCTGTGGCATTCTTCTTACATCTTCACTCTTTAGAGCTCATTGTTGACAAATATAAATACCACAACTTATATGATCATAATCTACATTTCCAGACTTGTCCACAAGTCGATTGCGAAATGATTTTGAGCCATTGAACGAACAACAGGAGACTCCAATATTAGAAGACCAAGAGATGGATAGCCCCACTAGTCCATTAGCGAAGCATCCCAAAAGTGAGTTCTGATGTTCTCAGATTTTGGAACGAAGTTTCTGAGGGAAAATTGCCTGAGATTTCTTACCCTGTGCTATTTTCAGCATTCGCATTAAACATATTTTTCCTTAAATTACCAAGAAATTTTGTTGACTAAAAACTGAAGTTTGAATATTTACTCTGTCCTCTATCTTTTTTACTTCTCTCCTAAAGTTGTTGAGCATCAGTTTTCCCACCCTTTACTGTAAAACAGACGAGGATGGTTGTTTTTCAGCTATGTCCTTCCCTCTAACCATAAACGTCGACACCCAAAGTGTAACGTCGGACCTGCCCAGTTCAGTCTCGTCGTCGGTGAACAGCTTCGTCTACCAGGGAATGAATCAAGACGCTCTGAAGAAACAATTAGAAGAATTAACGGTATGTGTTCAATTCAAGTTTTGAGGAACGGGTGTGAGAGAGAATAGTTGCAGAAGTGGGTGGGGGGGGGGAACAACTACGAGTTTTGGTTTTTTTTCATTCCATTAATTTTTGAAAAGTAGTCGCCTTCTGTGATCCATAAAAATGTAATCTCGAAGTTCAAACATAACGGGGTGGCGAGGGGGGGGGGAGGGGAAAGAGGTCATATCAAGACGATTTGACTAGGTAGAATGATAGTATAATTCCAACAAAATACCTGATATATTATCCAAAAGATCTTCTGGGATTTGGGACTGGGATTCGCACTTCACCGACTCTTCTTCTGCATAACTTACATAAATGCAAAGTCTGAAACAGGAATTTTTTAGAAAAATACTATGAAAATCCGGCTTTCAAAATCTTGAGATTTTTCCGATTTAAGGCAGCCTCCTGCAGGGCTGTGATACCGGATGCAAGCGGTGCTATCAATCCGGACAAAATTCGCGATCAGATAGCTGTCGTAAAACGACAGCTTGATGTTTTCCAACAACTGATGGCTGATGCTAAGGGCGAATTGGAAATGGCAAAAATGGAGGAGGAAAGCCAGGTGAGAGAAAATTTTGATTGTTCTGAGTATTTTCAAGTTTAGATTTTCTAAGTTTTTCTTCCAGGACTCCGCAGCCGTAGATGACATGTGTGAGCCGTCACCATCATCTTCACATGCTGATTCGGAATCGCCCAGGGATCGGCGCCTCCATCATTGCACCCATCCACATTGTGGGAAAGTCTATACAAAAAGTAGTCATCTGAAGGCACACTATCGGACACATACGGGTTAGTGGCAGCACTCTGACTGAGTAGTTTTTGTTGAATCCAACGTACCCTATAAGGTCCTTTCCAGGCGAGAAGCCATACTCTTGCCCATGGCCAGGGTGCGAATGGCGATTTGCCCGGTCGGACGAGCTTACCCGACATTACCGTAAACATACCGGTGACCGGCCGTTCAAATGTGCTCAGTGCTCGCGCGCATTTTCACGCAGTGATCATTTGAGTCTTCATATGAAGCGGCATTTCTAAAGCCTTTCATCATCCACTGATCCAACGCGAAGTGTGATCAGCCTGTAGGTGTTGACGAAGATCGTCTGTCCTGGAAGCATCGCCTCAGAAAGATGATCTGGAATTCGAAAGGACAAAGACGATAGGAGAAGCTCTGCGTTAAGCGATCTTCAATTGCTCTATCGCGTGTCGAATTCATCGTGTTCATTGCTCCATAGATTGCATTCATGCTCATCATTCCGTTGCTCTATTCAGGCATTTCAGCCATAATTTATCACTTAATGTTTATTGCATTGTTCACTTACTTGCCGTACACTCTCACTTAATGTTACAACTGCTAATCAGGATCTGATATGTATATGTTTCATCTTTTTTCGTCATCTTTCATCATTTTCATTCTAATCGCCTCTACTATTATGATTCACTTAGCGCCTAGTCCTTCCCATAATGTATCGGGTGTTTTTTCGAATAGTTTTTGAAGATCTGACAACCGGTGTTACTCATTTTTGAGCGAATCTTGTCGATTAGTTGTACTGATCCATTGATTCGCACTCGGTAATAGTATTGCCCAAAATCATTTAGTCACCATCGTCGTGACATCCTCACTCTATAGCAATGCGAAGTATGCTATACAGCGAATGATTACAGAAGATAAATATTTATTTTTCATTGCTGGGTCATGGTAAATATTGCAATTATACCAAAAAATGATAAAAAATTCAAGGAGGGCTGTCACACCATATTAGTCAAATTCTGTCTTAGCAAGAATGTTCATGGAGGAAATGAAGCAGAAAAACGGCACACAAAAATCAATTTTTCATTCAGATCAGCTAACAACAGCACAGTGCTTAAGCGTGTAATAGGTTTTTGACAGTGCAGTTCAAAAATATGCTGATTAGGCGGGGAACTAATGATACGGTATATTCTTGAATGTCTTTTTTTTCTCTGACATCTTGATTTATACAAAATAAAAGCAGGGTCAAGCTTGAGGTGTGGCACGCCACAGCTGGGGGTCGTATTGAGGGATCAGGGGGGAGGGGATCGTTGTCGAGGTGATAGTGATATTAGAGATAACATGATACTCGTTAACAATGTCAGAAAGCCTATTATGCAAAATACTGATTGATGTTTCGGCCTAGCATCTTATATGTATAGTAAGCACAATAAAAGAGCCCTAGAAGCATAAGAGCATCATTTTCGTAATTAGCATGTCAAATAACCCCTGCGGGCCAAGTTTCAGTGAATTCTGAGGTTTCCAAATATTAGACCACCCAAGTAAGGATGGTTATTTTCAAGCATGTTAACTCTGTTCCAAAGGTGGGTTCACTGCTTCTTTTTGCACTTAAAGACATTGTCCAGGTCAACTGGGGATGATTGTGGTCTTGACACATTGTGAGTGCACACTCCTGACTAACGCAACAGTTCAAGTCCGATCGAAAAAGATGGATTCTGATGCGAGAGTATTGCTTCGGAAAAAAAGGGCGGTACTCAAATCCCGCCCCTCTCGACAGGTTTTGACGTGGCCGATTTAGTAGATCTAGAGCATTCGCCGCGTCAAAACTTGTCAAGGGGCGGGATTGGAGTACCGCCCTGTTTTCCGAGCAATCTTCTCGCTTCAAATTTCACCTTTTCGATCGGACTTGAACTATTGGTTTAGTTAGGAGCCATGTTCTCACCCTATGTCAAGGTCTCCATACCCCCTCCCCCCAGTTGACCTGGGCTATGCCTTTAATACAAAGAACCACTACTTTTTCGCTCACATTAGGAATCTACTCCAAACAATCCCCAAAGTATAGAATTAAGAGCAAGCTAAAATTTCGCTTGTCTCATGTTTCACTTCCAAATCTCAAGCTAAAGAAGACCAATCAGGCGCACACTTTTGTGAAAATTACGAGCTTTAGGCTATCGTACATTTATTCTTGCCGCCTTCCTTCACACAGTGGCGCAGATCACAGTGTTACCGTATTCCAGTATTTTCGCAGTACTTTTCATCGCAAACGTAAGGAAAAACGATTATACCTTTCCCTAAAGAAACGATTTAAAATGAAATTCCTGTTATATAAGGAAGAAGGTCATGCAGTAGCAACGATATAAAAGAAGCAGATGTTTGTATGGAATAGCCAGCTAATGGGGTGTGGCACCACCCCGAAAAAGCTGTGGCAGTTACGGTTTTTCTGGGGTTGTGCCACACCCCATTAATCTAGTACATCCAAACAGAATCTTAGCGAACAAAATATAAACAGTTTGATGGCCCAATTCTCGTTTATAGAAATGACTAGAGCTGAACTTGCTCACTTTCGTTTGAGCATTAGTTGCTGGAAATACAATCACTATAAGCGAAGAATCAGACAAAACAGATTTTGGCTGGCTCTTAATTGCATAGTTTGACGTTTATTTGAAGCAGGTTTCATAATATGAAGTAGGGAGTAGTACTTTGTACTGGGTACAAAAAGCGATAGCTAATTCACTTTTGAAATATAGTTAACCATGTTTGAGAATGGCCTCCACTTGGGTGGCTCAACAGTGGGGACTTTCAGAACTCGCTAAAACTTCGCCCGGAAGGGTTACTTGACATATAATTTTGAATACAGTAATTATGCTTGGTAGAACCTTAATGTCATGCTTAAGATATACAACCCTTGAGACTGCGCTTCTATATACAATGCGTTCAACGAGGCCAGCACCGCGTAGTGCAGTCACGCATCTACGCGCGAGCGTTGGTGTGCGCGCAGCGTGCAGAGACCATGCTGCGCACAACATCGCGGGCCTTGTTTTTACCATCGTAACTCGCGATTTTCCGTTTTTGTAGCAGCGGATTGCCATTTTTCTTGCTTCTATGCTCGCATGCGATTTGTCTTGATACCGGATATGATTTTTTTTTCGCAGCATAGAAAGGAGATATCAAATATCGGTATAGGTATCAAATCTTTGAGCATTTTTCCTCATGACATCTTTAATTTCATCTAGGCCTTCTTCGGATGGCTGATTCGATGTCATGATTCATTATATCGACTCGTGTTTCAACGGACGTAATTGTATATTGTTTAGGTATGAGTGAACAGCGCCAACTCGCCATTCACTCAAACTGTTCTCTCAACCTGTGTGATATACGATTACACCTCACATACTCACCTTTAGCTGTAAGGAAGAAGAGCATCAGCCGTTCTCAGAATATCAAATGAAACGATTTAGATTACATCTTCTTTTAGACGTCGAACCTCTATTTGGCCTTCCATTCTCGCGGTGGTACTTTAAAGCAAAGAATAGCTAAAAAAAAGTACCACGCCGCTTTGCGCGGCGTGGTCCCTGCACTCTGCAGCCCACAGCAGCGCCCGCGCGCAGGTATGTGACTGCACTGCGCGGCGTTGGCTCCGCCGTAAAACGCATTGTAAGAAGATCCCAAATTTACGTTGGGAAAAGATGTCTACATTTCCGTGTTTGCACATTTGCTGTGCAGAAGTTTCCTCAAGGCTGAAAAAGCCTGGGTAAACTATGTGCAAATATTTTATATTCCACTCAAGCAAAAAGAGAAAAACGATGACATCACTTTCAAAAACAAGACTTTTAAGGATGTGAAAAAGACAAAAATACGGGTTGTTAACACTGATTATCGAATCAGCAATTATATCTGACCAGGGAAGGAGCCCAAAGGCATTCCAAATCGCAGTGGCGATTTGGAACGGAATGCATATCACTGGATGCACCTTGTTAAGCCGAATTCAAATCTGTCTTCCTCGTCTGCTGAGGAGCTTACTGAAAGAAAATATGAGCGTTTAAAAGCTCAAGTATGGCAGACGTTCAGTGGCATCCTTTTCAGGAATTAGTTGTACTGAGCACTGATTTACGTTTCTGGTAAATGTGTGTATTGCTTGTAGTCAGCACACTAACACTTTGCCAAATATGCACTTTCACCTGAATCAAAGGTACGTCTTGCATTGAGACTTCAATGACTTCACTTTCAACTTCTCCCACAGAATCCCGCTGCAGATACGGAGGGTAGATTTGGAATCGACTTATAAAGACGCATCTATCTATATGTATTCCATGATACTTCTCCACTGCAAATTGGGATCCTTCCCTTGTGAGATACGCGCTTCCACAGACAAATTTATCATTTTAACAATGGTTTCGTCTAACAAAGTAAAGCCCTCTTCTCATCGTTGCATAATATGCCAGTGGGAACCGCCTTGAAATAAGTGTTGCTACAAAACTAGAGAGTGCTAAGACTATCGAAGCATTTTGGATTTCTATCAAAGGCCCAAAAATAACCAGGAAGGAGGGGACCGCCATAACGATTCCATATCAAGCCCTTCAGGTTCTTGCGCGGCCAAATGACCTCATTATTATGAATAAGCGGAAGTATAGTCTTTATATTCAATGATATTACCTTATTATTTACTTATTTATTTATTTATTCAATACGCACAAGGCGTGCCATATTGGAGCAAAGTAAACGGAAATAGTAAGAACCTTACAGCGGTAAACAACCAATAAACCACCAAAAGCCCAAATCCAGCTCTCAGAAGGGATAGGATTAGAAGGGGTAAGGTTGTTACCTTGTACGAATATATCAGTAAGATGTTCGGTAGAGTCTGTCTCATGCCCCCTGCTTGCAGGAAAAGTGCTCTTAGATTATTCAACTTAAGCAACTGTATTTGCGGGGACCGTATATGTTGACAAACTTTGCCCGAATGATTCTGGGGAGAGAACGAATTCCGAGATAGGAGATTAATGCAAAAAGATAAACAAGCCAGCAAGTTATTCCCAAGTAAGCACGGAAGGAATGAACCGGACCCGAACCAACATGTGGGCAAAGTAACGGTTAAAACAGCAAGTGACTTGAGGTTACAACGACCGCACATATAGTATTCAAGAGGTTATCACTCTCCACGCGACAAGTGGGATTGGCACAGTTAGTCAGCTTAACAATACCGAGCAGGCCCAAGCAACACACGAAGCAGCGAGCGCAGGAAAAGTTCGGCAGGCAAACGGCAGCACTATACGAGCGATAACGAGAAGCAGTCATCTGCAAGAAAATCAGTCAAATGCAACTTTTTGAGTTTACGTCCGAAAGTAAGACTATCTGGAAAAGACAGAAAATCAGAAAATCCAGCAGTCTTCCGTAACTAAGCCTGAACACCCAGTATTTGAAAGGCCTTAGTTTAGTCTCGCCTTCAAAAATCCTGAAAGCAAGTATTATATCATGCACAATCCTGCGATGTAAAAGACTTTGAGACCTAGGACATTCATTCGTTCATAATAGCTTGGAAGCGATCGTGGGTAACAACTGGGATAACATCTGTAGAAAAGCAAACGAGTGAAAACCTGGACGTTCTCCAGGGCCAGCTTATGCTTTCGCAGAAAAGGGCTCCAAACCTGACTTGCATACTCCACAATAGGGATGACAAATGCCTTATAAAGTTTCATTAATATTTTGGGATCGGCTACTCTTATATTGCGAAAGATGGCGCACAAAATTGAGAACGCACGAGAAGTCATGTTTGAAATTTGCGTCTGGTCTCAAGCTGCTATCGAATACAACACCTAAGACTTTGATAGATGTTTTGTTAGCTAGTGAAACTCCCGCATGCTCATAGCGTTCATCACTTGCAGCAGCACCAACATAGAATGCATAACTTTTATTTATATTCACTGAAATGTCCCAATCTGTGCACCATTCAACCATGTTGTTGATGGCATGCT